GCCTACATTTTCCCTTTGGCCTATTATTAGCTTTGTATGAGCCTGTTGATCATCTGATGTTCTACTGTCTCACAGACATTAATTCATGGGTAGACAAATACTGATTATATTGTAGTAAATCAAGAAACTAATTTGAGCAAGAAACAAATGCAACCTGCAGATTACCAATCATACATTACTTTCAATAGACATTTCTATTTCATGACCTCATCTCGTCATTTGGAGGAGGATGTTATCTTTTTAAATTGTTCATAAATTTAGACATTTCTATTTCATGACCTCATCTCGTCATTTGGAGGAGGATGTAATCTTTTTTAAATTGTTTATAAATTGTAATAACGGTTTTGAGCTTTGTCAAATTGTTTCCTTTTGCCCAAGTGCAACAATAATATGGTAAATAGAATTATAATGAAAGCGAAATTACTAACATCATTTAACCGCAATGAGGATTAAAGCTAAATTGTAAGGAAAGCTAAAAAGTGCAAGAGGACTGCAATACATGCAAAGACAACTGATAAGACAGACATGCGGATAAGACACAAAATACACAGACACTGTAAGCAATAAACAACAATTATCAATGGATCCGGGAGCCAGTCATAACCGGCCACAGTGCTGTACAGTCCTGGGCCTGTAATAATACAGGCTACACCCAGAATGAAAAAAAAACCTTAACTATTTACAAGAAAGACAGAATAGAAATAATGCAACCTATCTGGATTATGGTTCTTAAGGATGTTAATCCAGATAGAATTTATTTCAGTCACGATTTTCGGTTTCGTCCCTTTTGTCCACATTCTCTTTAAAACAAAAAACAAAAAAATTTAAAGTTTAATGATTGTTTGTGTCACATTTAAAGAGATATTGATGAAAATCAGATAGTAGTTTAAGCTCTGGGTATTAGCCCACTCAAAATCCATTAAATCTGACAGGATTCACTTTAGATAGGTCTGGAATCTTGATAGCTAAAACAAACTAAGGTTAACAAGTTATCACCAGAGCTTGCATATATTTCCACCCTACTGGGTTCTACAATTCAATATAATAATACTTTAATAACAACAGCATACCTCTCATACTTTATATTACCTCAAGTCTTATCTATATATCCATGTTATTGATTAATTAAAGACACCCTCAGCTATTTTACAGATAACACTATCTATTGGTGTATATGCATTGTTTTTTATTTATGTACCTAAAGACCACAACAATTTAGACTTCTGTTTTTCTGGTACACCTATTAAAAATTCTGCTTTAAATTAAATTTCTTCAGGCAAAAAACTGATTTAAAAACAAAGTACTAAGATGTTCTTCTTAAAAATTTAAGTTTTGAAATTTTTTGCAGAGATGTGCCATTACAGCTGCTGTATATGGTGATACATTTTTTGTAGGATTTGACATTGGAAGCTGATTTAAGATAGCTTCCTGTTTCTGTTTGAATGTTAAAGCTTGTGAACACAATACAGCCGAGTTCATAATGATGTCCCCTTAAGTGATTCATAATTTTTCAATTACAAATATGCATTCCATTTACAAATCAATATTAAAACCGTCAATAGAATTTTATATATGATGGCTTGTGACTGTAATTTTTCTACAAAAACATTCCTGGGAGCCCGAAATGTCAATAGAAAAACATTGAAACCAAACATTGATGATTTCAACAGTTAATGACATCGGATTATTGTTCGGAATTATCTAGAATAATATCGAATGTAAATTTGATTGATTTCACTATACATATAAGAAGGGTGTGTCTTTGGTATTTTTTAGGAGACATGACATCTGAAGGTATAATATTTGATGTAGTGTTTAAATAAACAAACTAATGAGACACTTTGATCTCTTCTGATAGGCATATTGATCTCTTGGTCGCATGTCTGATTTTTCTCTTATACATGACCTTTATATGTTTTCTTTAACAAGGCCTTTTAAACTTATCTTTACATGTATAAGTTTTAGCCCATTGAATAAAAACATCTTTATTTAAGTAGCACTTGAGATGGTATTATCAAATGACAAACGATAATATCTGTTTTAAACTCTACTTTGAAAAGTTGTTTAACCATTATGATTTTTTTGAAAGGTATGCAAATTGTGCACCTATGCCTGTAATTTACCAGGTTAAAAAAAGGTATAAAAGTTGATATTTTCATCCGTATAATTTATCATAGCCGTAGTTTCTATGCAAATGATCACTATCGCTAATATCATTAGACTGATCAGCATAGTGTTTACTGTATTCTAATGATAAAACCTTTGGGAATTTTTGATATCTAAAATGTAGAAAGCTGGCTGGCTGGGAGGGGGGGGGGGGCTGGGACTTACTCCTGGAAAATAAGGAGAGAAGGGAAAGGAGTTTAATAACATCATGTGAACACTACTTCAGTCTTGACTATATTAGTATTGTCACATGTGCAGTGCCTACTCGTCTTCGAATTCCACCTGTCACAAATTCTTTAAGGTGAATCCCAAAGTGTTTATGGATGGCCCTAAATTCTTCATCCCACCCTATCCGGTGAAATTAATTATTCCCATAGGAACTACCATCAACAGTAAGTTAGCTATTCATGATGTGATAATTACTTACTGGATATACATTATTTAAAACAAATAACAAGTTAACGGCAATGCCAATTAGACATCAATTGGTAGGATGTTATCCAAATGATGGCACTTATATTTAGAATCAGTCCAATTAATATTTTCCCTGTAGGATATTGTAGTCGCAAAAACCATTTTTAGTAACTCTTTAATATCGTATAATGGAGTACAAACACTGTTTCTAAATATGAATTTATTTATTTTATTGATCTGTGTGTAATTATGACAAGAATAGAGGACAATTAATGTAGTTACAAGTGAATATCTAGCGTATATTATAGATGAGTAGTTTCTATTCATAAATAAGTATCGAAGATTGTTAAATGAGCAGATCATGTTTTTGTTGTCTCTATGATTGTAAATGTTTTATAGTATTCCCACGCTTTCATTCATAAACGCTTAAACCTCATTATGACTTTTCACTATCATTTTCTGGAAATTACCATTTAGGATATATTTATATAGAATTATATTTTAGTTTGTGAATGTTGTATAAGAGACATGTATATATGTAGAAAATTAATATAAGTGTACATGTATTATAAGAAATGAAATGAAATGGGGTTTAATGTCCTGTTACTGTGCACCAACCAGTCTAATGAAGACAGGCATAAGCCATACAGGGAAATTTGCCTGGACAGTGGCACTATGGCCTGCTCTTTATTTTGAATTCCAACTGTCATGGGATCTTTTACTTGCATGCCAATAAGTATATGAAAGGTCGGTTTTTTTTTCATGCTGAATGACTAGACCTTCAACACTGACAAGGGGAAACCAGACAAGTAAATATATGTATTAGCATAATCTTTATTTAATAGGACAGCTATGTATACTTGAGAGAAAGTTTAGACAAGTCCACTCATAATTATTGAATTTCCAGTTTGTACATGTCAATATGTGATTAAAGTTCGCTTGTGTTAAAAAAAATCACATCTGTCTAAAATACAATAGAGACATGACAGTTTACCCAACAGAAGCTCTTGTTCTCAGTGGGTATATTTTGACCTCGAGTCAGAAATATGTACTCATTGCTATGGAATTACATTGCCGAAATCAAAGAATGAATGTTACATTTTAACACTGGAAATTGTTTTTATATCCACAATAAGATTAAATGTGGATACAGATATTTATTTAATAAGATATGTGGGAAGACAATATTTTTACTCAGATTGTGTAACATATTATTCTAGAATAATGTAAATATAACCAAAGAAGAAAACAAATATCTACTTTAGAAATTATGAATTGAGTGACCTTGAAGGCCGGTGAAAACAGATGGCAATTTACACAAAAAGTACACCAGAGCTTCATTAGAACACTGCCTATTAGAACACTGCCTGTTCTGGTGTTCTGTCTAACACACAATTTATATATCTCTTGGATACGGGGATCGATTCCCTGGTTGTACGTGACAAGGAGTAGAGTCACCTGTCCAACATCGTAGGTTTTCTCTGGGTCCTCCGGTTTCCTCCCACTGCTAAAGACCCCTACGTGCAAGCAGATTATTGAAATAAAATTGAATCATGTTGGTCCCGAAATGACCTGGTTTGTGTCAAGTGGATGTTATACCCCATTTCTCTCTCTCTCTCTCTCTCTTTCTCTCTCTCTCTCTCTTTCTCTTGAATAGGCTTATTTTAAAACTGAATGTAGTTAAAACATGCTGGGATTTTAAGACGCGGTAAGGTTCAGGTGATGAATTTAAACTGGTTTAGAGATCGCCAGGGTTTTTAAACTCTAACCTACCTAATATTGAAATACACTATAACTATACTTGTATCTATAAATACAATGTTTCATAAAATTGCTTGGTACAATCTTTATAATCATAAGCTGTCAGTCAAACTATTAGCTGCAATGAGGTCAACAAATATCTATATTGTCAAAGTTTCCAAAATTACATATGATATACACATGTATACATAACGTATAGATCATAATATATTATTGTAAATCTTATTGATAATCTAGACTATAAATTGGCCTATTGCCATTTAATGAAGTTTTCATACGGAAAAAAAATGTCCTATCGCACATAGTCATTGATTCCCCCACCCCAACCCCCCTTTGATTATTTCTGTATCCAAATATAGATTCTTTCTGTAGAAAATATAATAAAAGGTAGACCTTTGACTCAGCTATGCCGGTTTTCACTTGCACCTTTTATCCTTTAAACTTTCAACAGAATTCAGAAATACATGTATCTGATACTTTTATTCATTTGTTGACCTGAAATTTTTACATATTGGCTGCACAGTGTGAAACCCTAATAAATAAATCATGGAAGGCATTCTCAGGAGCCTTTTATTTTCCACTAGTTTGGTAATGGGGGAAAAAAGAAAAAACATAGATTATTGGATTTATTTAAATTAATATGCCATTTATGTTTTCAGATATTCCAAGATCTTGGTACAGATGTCATACAATCTGCTGTGGAGGGATACAATGCGTGTCTGTTTGCGTATGGACAGACAAGTACAGGGAAAACATATACCATGACAGGAACAGAGGTAAACTATCTAAAATCCATATGTACATTTTTCTGCCCTTGCGAGTGTAAACATGCATCAGCTACTCAACTTTAGTTTGCAATGGCAATTTTTTTAGCATGCTATGTAAGGCAATCAAATTAAAACAAGATTTTATTTCATTCTGTGTATTCAGTTGGTCACTCATGTGATATTCTAAGACATGTTTAAGAAAAGCACACTCTGGGCCTGTGTTGGTAGAATAATTATACATTTGGCCTTGATATCTCAATAATCAAAGCAGTTTAAATGTTCTGAAATATTCTGTATTGAACTTTCTTGATTGATCGGTTGTTCTGAAGTACTCGTCTTCATTAGCCCAGTTGGAGCAGAACAGTAGGACGTTAAACCCCATTTCAGTTCATTTGTTCTGAAGTACCAATCATAATCCACACATTACTATAGGTGTACTACAGGATCAAACACAGGATCTCTTGGGTAGCGAATCTAGCTTTGGAGGGAGCACCTTAGCCAGTGTGACGCTCCCACCAGTAAAGAAATATCTTTTGATCCAAGATGAAGTGAAGCAGACCCTGAAATAAAATGGAAGGAGATATTGATGTAATGTAAATTAGATTGGTTGTTGTCTCATTTATTCTGTGAAGAGTTTATTTTAAGATTTAGCTTGTCAGCAAGTTAAATGAGCTTAATTGTTCCAGAAAACAATACGCTTCTGAATACTTGAATTAAATTGACATATTGTATTTAAATTGTGTTATGTTTTATGTTTTTATATTCTAATTCTATATTACATTAACATCTGACAATATATCTTTGAAGTCTGTTTAACGATCACATCACATGCAATGAAATGAAATGGGGTTTAACTGCCAATTTTGTTTTACCAAATGGGATAATATAGATGGTCGATCACATAAACTTTATTGACTAATCAAATTATCTTTATAACAGTACGAAGCTGCATATTTTGGTTGATTTTGGGAAAGTATACATGTGAATGATTGGGTTAGGGGTTAAAACCAGTTGGAATACAATTGTTTCGATGTAAATGTTACACTACCTGGAAGGACATCATGATGATAAAAAAGATCAGATAATACAAATGAAATGCAATTGATATCTGACTTAAGTTTGATGATATCTTTTCATAGCCTCTGCTACAATCCTTAAACTTCTGTTCTGTTGAATGTAAAATATTAATAAATGCCTGTCTTACAAAGTTTACTGTATAATATCATGTGGGCAACCCAGAACATGACACAAACATGGCCATGTCTGTAGAAAGATACCGCCCTGTCTGTAGGGAGATACTGCCCTGTTGGAGCTGTGTTAATGAATTAATATTAATAAAAATATTCTTGTTTTTTTCTATTTTATCTTTCAGGAAGAAGTTGGTCTGATTCCAAGAATTTGTGAAGTGAGTAGACTAATTTTGTTCAGAACATATTGTACAATTCAAAGTAATTAAATTATATTAATTGCTGTATTATTTTGCCATAGAAATACCATATAGTTATAAATACAAATGTAGATATAAAGGAGTTCAAGCCCATAAATAAAACGATAAGAACAGTAAAAATTGTGCTGTGTGAATTGACAATAGCCTAGTAATAGAGAAGGAAGAAAAATAACTGTAGAAGAATAATCACATTATTTACGAACCATTGCACGTACCTGGGAGGCATTATAAAAGATATTCAAAGATTAATGTTTGATCCTTTTAGAAGTGAATATTGTTCTTTCGTTGATTGATCCAATACCAAAATCAATAGAAAAAATCAATTTATGTTTTTTTTGCGGAACTATTGAAGCACATATAACTAAAGAAAAAAAGATATATGTATACAAAAACAATAAGACAACCAAAATATTTTATATTGATATGCAATATTATGCAAGGCTACATTTGGTTATCTTTGTTTGCCAATATTTATCTTTATTTACCGATTTGTAGGATAACAGTGTTTGGTCTTGCACTAATCATTAAATCGAGATCAATTTTACTCAGATTTAATCTAATAAAAGTAATCCTCAAATTTTTCAATTGCTAACCAAATTAGATTTTCTAAAATCCGTAAACTTAACCATAAGCAGTATAACATAAGGAAGACAGCAATATATGAAGTATCCTTTAACATATCTAGCATATTATATACAAGTTGCAGTTAATAAATCAGTAAATGTTATCCATAAAGCTATCTGTTATTATATATTGCTTTCACTAAATAACCTTTTAAAAAATATCTCGTATTGAATATTGCTAGTGCATATTTCTGATCCATATGCTTCCCATGTGCATTCATTTGATTAGTAAAATTGATTAACTATGTTGCATGCTATGATGTAATTACATTCTTCCGTTTTGTACTTTTATTAGGAATTATTACCTTATTTTATTTCTTTTTACCTTCATTCTGTCAATCAGGATACACTTAATAGTAAAACTATTGATTTCTACTATTGAAAATAGACAAGAATGTGCCCTCGAATAATACCTCCTTTTTAAAACTCATTCAGTAGGCTAATGATTGAGTAACAATTGCTCACTCTTTGAAATAATAAAAAAAATCTCCAAGAATTTATTGATTTTATGATCAAATCTGACTTATTGCAAAAAAGCTAATGATTGCAAGACAGATAAAATGTTCAATTTATCTGTATTATTTTATTTATATTATCTTTCAGGGATTATTTAGTCATATAGAATCGGAACAAGATGAGAAAATTACATTTAAAGTGGAAATAAGGTGAGGTAGAATCAATTACCAATGTCACATTAATGGCTTTAAATACGACGATCAAGCCACAATGCCTTTTCAGCTTTCATTTTGAAGAACTATATTTTATAAAACTGAATTAAATGCAATTGAATGCTGTTACAAATTAAAGTAGTGTAGGCATTCCTGAAATGAAATGGGGTTTAAAGTCATAGTTTCTGCACCGACTGGGCTAATAATGATGAGCATATCTCCTTCAATGTGCTATGAGGAAAATTTTGACTGTACAGCCTACTTTTATTTCGAATTCTAACTGTCAAAGGATCTATTACATGTTCTGTAATTCCAAACAACTGGGCACGTCCCTTGTCAGGCCTTCCTTCTTACACATCTGACAAGAGGAAACCACACTAAAAAATCCCAAGAAACTTTATCAGCCAAACCCGGGAGCGAATCTGGGACCTCCTGGTTAGCGAACCAGCGTCTTGGTCACTGAGCCATTGTGATTTCAGTAACCATTCCTGATTATGGGAGTAAAATAGTTGTCCTTTTCACTTTGGATTGACCAAATTTTAATAGATACACCTGTTAATGTACATTGACAGTAAAAAATCTTATTTCCCCACAGTAGGCTACTCATGTTCCTTGTACATTAGGAAAATTTGTGTGCCTTTCCCATATGTTTTGGTAATCCTGGACACACCCCTTTAAGATATCACTTTAGATACATGTAAGTGTTTATATCTATTGGAATCTGTATTGACTAGATAATCTATATATAACGTCTACGTGTATTATCTATGATATTGAATTTCTCTTGACAATCTCCATCATGATATGATATAACATTTCAAGAGCTACAGATATTAACAATTGATTAAATAGTGTAATCATACATATATGGTACTATTTTTAGCTCCATTGTTATAAATTCACTTTCCTGGGAACTGACTTGTGGTACATATTGTTGAAACCGATAATCGTAAACAGATGATTACATCAGTGAAAGTTGGCAAAGAATGTTGCATCTTGAATTGGCCATGTTTCAAAATATGAAGTGCCATCTGTCTGAAACTTTTATTATTTAGGTAGTATTGTCTCAATACCACATGAAAATTGGGTGAAAAAACAAAACTATATTTTGTTCATATTATTTCTGAGGTTTCACATCTGCTTATATTTTTGTCTTGTAATTTTAGTTATTTAGAGATATATAATGAGAGAGTTCGAGATTTGTTAAAATCTGGTTTTGCCAATGAAAAATATACGTTAAAAGTTCGAGAGCATCCTAAAGAGGGACCATATGTACAAGGTATCTTAAAACAGTTCTTCATATGTAAATAATCATAATTAAATCAACCTGTCCATAATATCATGTATAATGTATTGGACGTTAAATTTGTAAAAAAACAAAAAAACACATTAAATCAGTTCCAAATATTCTATGTCTGGTTTTCTAATGCCTATTAATCTTTTAAAATTATATCCTGAAGTTCTGAGATTTCTTTATATTTGATCATGTATTTTAAAGGAGCTAAAACTCTTTGATTTAGCTCAAAATAGAGAATTGAATTAAATTATTTTTGTCTGCTATGTATCTCAACACTGGCTTTATTTGTTTAAGAAGTCATTGTCATCCCACAAAACAAATTAATGTATAAAAAACAATAAAAACAACAAATCAAAGAGATCTTGTCAATTTAAATATTGAGGCATGATACTGTGCGCAGGTCAGTAATAGGTTATTCCTAATTTGTCATGTCTGCCTTTCAAATGAAAACCCACAACAACACAACACAATCATTCGGATAGATTTCTAATCTAACAATAGAATGTAATAATAGAAAATGAAATAATTGTTTTAATAAAATAATTTGTAAACTATTATTTCAGATTTATCCTCCCATAGAGTAAAAAATTTAACTGAAACTTTAGGGTTTTTGGAAAGAGGAAATGATAATAGGTAAGAAATTGTTTCCCCAACTGTCTCAAATATAGTTTTCAATATATTTTCAAATTTGTTTTTTTGTCAACTTAACCGCGTTTAACACCCTACATTCAGAACCATTCAGGTTATTGAAGACAGGTATATGCCATGCATTGTGCTATGAGGGAAACTTTGTTTGTACAGTGGTGGAAAGGTCTACTATTATTTCATATTCCAAATGTTCTTTGTCCCATTCGAATGACTAGAAACTGTCCATTGCCAGGCTCTCTGTTCGGCACTACTGACAAGGCAATACCACACATAAAAATCATGAGGAACTTTCTCGGCCAACCTTGGGATCGATCCCGGTTAGTGAGCTAAAGCCTTAATCACTGAGCCACCTCGGTTCTGCTCAGATTAACAGGCTCAATATTTTATTGACAAATTCTGTTTGTTTTACAGGACAACTGCAGCAACACACATGCATGAACACAGTAGTCGTAGTCATGCTATAGTTACATTAGTTTTTACTCAGGTCAGTGGTAATTATCATATTGTCTTCAAGGAGTCTGGCTTTTTTAATTTATTTTGATTAGTTAGTGTTAGTTGTATTTTACGTCCGCTTCCACCGAGGTTATATCGCAGACAATTTATTTTGATTAAGAAGTCTTTTAATTTATAACATACACTACTAGTATTTGGTCGTTAATTATCAATAACAAAGAGATTGTCAATTCCTACACCTTCTAAAAGAAGCCTTTTAATTAATACGCTTGTATATTACCATTTTAACTCAATTCAAGTAAAATCATAGTTCTTTATCCTGACATACACGATGAGCTTATTTACAGAAAACAAATAACATAAATTTCTGTATTTTTAGGCATTATTTGAAGATGATCTACCTCGAGAAATTGTTAGTAAAATTCATTTAGTGGATTTAGCGGGAAGGTGAATATCAGTTTTTTTTTCTTATATACACAGTTGAGAATTGAGGATTTTATTCTATTGATTGTTTTAATAATTGAAACAAATCAAGAGTTAAATTAAGTAGAAATTACATAGAAAATGATTGTTAATATTTAATGAATAACTTTGTCTAAAGGACAGTGAGTTTTGTTTTCTTTGTATTATGGGAGTGTCATGATATAAATTCTAAATAAGGCCATGTAAAAAAATTATTATGGTTTTTAGATAAATCTGTGTTGCTCAAAAAGTGACGCATAACCCCTTTTTTTAAAAAAAAAAATAAAATGTCTCACTATTTACCGCACATAAATATTTTATCCTGATTACACAAAGTAACTAAATTTTAAAAAAAAGTGAATCAAGAAATGTGGCTGCGCAGGGCAGTGAAGTTTTTTTTTTTTTGGGGGGGGGGGGGCACACCTGGCACAGTCTACAGTAGGTATTTTAGAGCTATGGTCAGCAATTTTTTTTTGGGGGGGGGCATTGCCCCCCCCTTGCCCCCTGCTGGCTACGGGCCTGGTGGCAACCCTGAAAAATGTGTATGACAATCATAAATGATACTGGATAATCATACATTCCTATTAACAACATGATGAAATAAATGTAGTGCCTTGAGAATTGAAATGCGATGTTTTAGCGATGTTAGTGATCCTTTTACAAAATAAAAACCTCCCTGCTGCATTTGATTTTTGGTAAGGATTGTCTTGAAAACCAGAATATTTTTTTGTATGTCCTAAATGTTGTGGTTTATCATAGTTCCATGTTCTTTACCTAAGTCGTAGTATTATTCAATGTTACTGAATATCTTTTCAATGATTAATTTGTTTGGATTTATTATTCTTACTCTGCCCTTTCACTTGAACTACATTCTTATCAAAATGATAGTATACTTAGCTACATATATTGTAAGTGTTATATTATAAAAACAACTTTGAAATGTGTAAATATTTGGAGTACCTGTATTACACACCCTGTATTAATCTAAACAGTTCTTATTCAATTGTATTATTATTATATACAAATTGATATACAATGAACACAGCAAATTGAAAATAAAAATATGCAATATACAAGAACAAATTATTAATCAATTATATATATGAAAACATACAAATAGATCTTTTATAGACTACAATTTGATTTATTTATGGGATCGACCTTAACTTATTCAATCTTTGAGAAATTTGTTTACAGTTAATATGCAATTACATGGATTAACAAACGCAACCAATCCTAAATAATGCCTGGCATATATTCCATTCTATAGAAAAACTCTTTAAAAGGTCAGCATAGAGTCAATCTATATGTATGTTTTATTCAAGATAGAAGTAGTAATATAAGAATAGGATATATTGTGAAAGCCTACTGTTGTTTAATTTGAATAGTAGGCTTTAGTTATTAATGATAATAGAATTTTATAAGATAGGGAATGCTTAGATTTTCCTTTGAAGCTATACAAATTAATTTTTGGGGCGAATTTAGGGTTGAATTATATTTATATTTACAGAAAATAATCATTTTGATTATGATAGTTAGAAAATATTTATTATGATAGCATACTATATTGTTAGTGTTTTGTTTCATTCAAAACAAGCTAAAACGTAGATTAATTCCCATAGAAAGCTAAAATGAAGATAATTTGAGAGTTTAAAATATAATATTGATTCCCATAGAATGCTGAAATGAAGATATTTCGAGAGTTGTTTTTTTTTAAAAATGTAAAATTGAAATCTAATTTAATTTGTGTTTTTGTAGTGAAAGAGCTGACACAACATCAACCCTCAATTATAAAGGAAGATTAAAAGAAGGGGCCAATATCAATAAATCACTGGTTACTCTTGGCAATGTCATTAAAGCATTGGGTGAGTCCATTTCTCCTTCTAAAACAAATAAGTTGTGTTGTAAATTGAAAACATTGGTATTAACCCTTTGAGCCTAGTAGCCCAATAAATTGTTGTATATTGCATTAACTGATCAGTGAGTGAGTAAGACGTTGGTTTGCTAATCAGGAGATCTCATGTTCGCTGCTGGTGTTGGCTGAGAAAGTTCTTTAAGATTTTCTGGCAGGGTTTCACCATGCCCATCTTCATTAGCCCAGTCGGTGCAGAAAAGAAGGACATAAACCCCCATTTCATTTGATTTTGGCATTGGAGTGTTTACTGCTTGGGTTCAAATCACTTTGAATCCTACAAGCAGAAGTTCAGATAACAACTCTTTAATCGCCAGTAATTGACAAAACATAAAATCTAGGAAATGTAGTTGCCCAAGTTGATGAGAATACCAAATTTGGTGTCAAAAAGTTGCGTTGCACATGGGCCTGCAATTTAAGAGGTTTGAAAATATCTCAGAGATTTATTGTCAGCATCCTAGCAGAAATTCTTTTTGAATATTCCAATGCCCATTTCCTTTTAATAGATCAAACATCTATAATTCCACTAGCTCTGTGTCATGGAGGGATTGGTGGGGTCAATACAGTAGCCTATAGCCGAAAATACCAAAAGGCCAGCACTTAGCTCATGATGAGACGCTCTGACTAATTTCAGAATTTGATAATAAGTGATAAATGATCATATTGTGAATTTGATAGTATGAACTAACCTGTTTGTAATAATATTGTTATAGTATTTGGTCAATGTATTTATTCAAATTAATTTATTTTGCAGCTGAGCGTTCCCTGTTGTCATGGACACAGATGGGTTCAACTCAAAGTGTCACCAGTTCTAGTGCTGAAAATAGTGCTCATAGTCCTAGCTCACCTCGTCGACATCAAACTGTCTTTATTCCCTATCGTGATTCCGTCCTCACATGGCTGCTTAGGGACAGTTTGGGAGGAAATTCCAAAACAATTATGATATCAAGTGAGTATAGTTATCAATAACTTTATGAAAAGTTTGTGTTTATGATTGATTTATTATATTCTTATTTGCCATCTTTATGACATTAAACCTCATTCATTGTATTCTAATTATCAACAGCAAATCAAGTGAAAAACCCATTGAAAATGTCTTCGTGTCTTTTGTTTCATTTTCAACATTGGGCATAGAGTAATATTATGAGTGGATCTGTCAATGGCCGTTACACATCTTTCACCTTAATTTGCTAATTAAATTTGTGCATTTTTGAAACTATTTTGATTTTATATAATGAATAAAATAGAGTTCACCCATCAGTTGTACATGACACTTATTATAAGTTTGAGTATATTTTGCTGGGTTTTTTAGAAGTATGCCATTAGATAAAAAAATTCAAGGGTTGAAGAGATAAATAAACATATAAGAGAATCAAAGGAAAAGTTTATTTATTATGTTTTTTCTTTTTCAGCTGTGACCCCAGCAAGTAAATATTATAATGAGTCGTTGAGTACATTAAGATATGCTCAACGAGCTAAAAATATTGTAAATAAACCAAAGATAAATGAGGTAAGATCCTCTGATCTAATTTATATTTCTGTTTAAATTCAACATAGCGGTAGTGAAAGATTAATATCATATGCTTTTAGTATGATAAAATATAATTTAACAGTATTGTATATATATATATATATATATATATATAAGGGTGGGTGGGGGAATGGCCGAATGGTATAAAGCGTGCACTTCCGATCTTAAGATCTGTCATTGGGTCAATTGACATGGTTTTGATCCCACCTTTGTTCATGACAAGGAGTAGGGTCATCTGCCTAACCTCATCGGTTTACTCCTACTGCTAAAGATCCCTACATGTTGAGTGGACAATAAACCCAATTTCTTTTTCTCTTGTTTATATTAGCTATCTATATGTAAGTGAATGATTTCATAATGATAGTCTTTTTTTCTGTTTTAATATTTCAGGATACCAATGTAGCATTAATACGACAATTACAAGAGGAGATTAAAAGATTAAAACATGAGTTGGCCAACGCACAAATGGTGAGATGTTTTCCATTAGATTTTACATTTATTAGAACTGTTGAATGTGTGTGCTTATCAGTTATGCGTTATGATATTAACTCTACATCCCAATATTGGGCCTATTTAATAGAAAAATAAAACGAAAAGAACAGAAAGTAAAGTAGGTTCATGTTTATCCTATGCTGAACAAAGTTAGGGAGGAATATTGAAATTAACTCCATCTCTTTTACATCATAAATCGTTCAAGATATTTTCATGAAACAATGGTGCTAGTTATGGCTTGTGCTAATTAGAAATTTCTTGGATTTAACGATTGTTGTGATCCCATGGAAAATGTTTTTACTTAGTTATTGATCTATCTCTGTACTTCTAGGAAACATGCCCTCTTCTTTATTAATTTTTACAAAGGCAGTGTTTATTCTGAAATTGTACTATATTTAGTTGTAGAATTTTAAATTAATCCTGTACCGTAGATTATTTTGTTGACGGTAAATCTTGCATGGTTCATAATGCTCTTTAATGCTTGTTTTTATTCCTTATAAAAAGTTTTTAGTAATGATAAGATAATGATATATATTTTTTGTTTCTTATTATCTCATATTGAAAATAACTTAAGAGTCTCCACATCGCAGATTACAAATCACAATTCCACTTTTACTTGGAAACTACTAGTAGTGATTATTTAATACATAGTTTCTGGGTTTAAACCGAATGGTAATTTGTAATCTGTGATGTAGAGACAGTAGTTTACATGTATTAACCATAGATAGAATTTATTTTGATAGTGTATATATGAGAAGCATGTCATTGTTATAATAAACTTTCAGCATGGTAGCATGGGAGATTTATTCTATTTATTACCAGAGGGTATAAATCTGAGTAGTTCTGATGTAGATTTACAACAGGTACACGTAGTTTATTTATACTTATATTAAATCATTTATTTGAGAAATAATCCAAGTATGATGCATTCCTTATGCATTTTAAAAGCATGTGACAGCTGGCTTTGATTTAGGTTAAAAATAAAATTGACTATTTGATGTAATGTGTTTGTGAGATTAATATCTATGTTTCGTTTAAAATTTCATAGCTGCAGATCAGGCCAATATTGAGATACAAATACTTTTGTGTTCAGCTGTCAACAGTTTAAGCCAAAAGTGAAACTAAAATTAGTAAATAAATGACACCTGATAATGTTTCTATCAAATATTTAATTGAATAAAGATTTATCCTTCACTAATTGAAAAAACGTATTAATCAAATTTAGAACGTTTTTAACCTAAATCCAAGAGATTTAACCATGGGCCGTATTTAACCATGGACCGTGTATATACGGCCCATGGTTTAACTTCATTGAGATTTGGTTAAATATTATAATTTTTTATTCTGCACTAAATACTAGAAAGCTTCTAGAATTACTATTTAAATGCTTGAATACTTATTTAATACACACATTCCTTAAAATAAACCATAATGTTTATGGATTACTTTTTAGTAAAGTAATTCTAGTGGCTAGCAGATAAATTTTTATTTTATTTTTCATCAATTACGATCTAAATGGTATCTTTGAAAAATAGATTTTGAATGATGTTCATAATTGCCCTACCAACCTAATAAATGTTCCCCTCTCTCTCTCTCTATATATAGCATAACTTTATTATATAATACTGTCATTGGAGTGTGATTTAATTAACATGTATCAGGGATTGTTATAGTTTATTTATTTAGCTTGTTTATATACACCTGAGTATTTGTCTGACAACACAGTTTACTTATTGGTTATCTGATGGTTATACATAGCTATCTATTTCCATCAGTAAAAGTCTTTCTGAATGTAGCATCATACTAGCATGTCAGATATTAGAATGCACTTCTTTAGTTCAAATCAAACAGTCCGGAAAGAGAGAATGATTACCTAGTATTGTTTGAGGATGTAATTAATTATTGGATTTATGTTTATTTAGGCTGGTTTACCAGTTCCTGTACGTGATAAAGGAACTGTTGTAGAAAAACTACAAGAAAAAGAAAACATGGTAAGTAGGAATGATAGTAAGAAAGATAAAAAGGAATGAGAAAAATTTGAAAAAAAAAAAGGACAAATATTTTTTTGGGGGGGGTAAATTACTGTCAAATATTATCTGTTATATACCTTCGTATAAAAATATTGTATTATTGTCGTCTATTTTACAGGCTAAACAGTTAACTCAAAGTTGGAGAGATAAATGGAATGATCCCATGGAGGTAATAAACATTACAATAATTATATATGCAGGCCCGTTGTCAGGTTATTTGCCCAGGTCTGAGGCAGGCACATGCAGTGGGATCCTTTTGGAGTGTGGGGTAATGAAATTGTGGTTTCATTTGTGATTTCCTACCTCATATGTGGACATGAATAGAATACCTATAATGAGGGCACAATGTTATGCGTAAATCATTATTTTTTTAGAGAGTACAATACCTCAGAGAGGGGGTGCCAAGGCACTGTAGACAATCCAACTAGCAACAAGCCTGAATTATGAAGTTTGCAACAAACAAAAGCTGAACTTGTTATTGTATTGATATTGAGTAAGATATAATCAAATTGTGACCGTTGTGTTCATTGTTAATGAATGTTTAATTTACTGTTTAAATTTTGGTTTCCAGCAGGGGGATGATGATGTTCTATGTTTCCACGAGTTAAGGAGAGCAAGTTCTCATGGTATTATTCTAGACTCTCAGATACCCCATTTAATTGGAATGGATGAAGATATTTTAAGTACTGGTGTCATCATTTATCAACTTGATGTAAGTATCTGATTTGTTATCTTTCATTTTGTGTAATAGAAATGAAACTAGGTTTAATGTCCTACTTTCCTGAACCAACCTAGTTAATGAATATGGGCATACATCATACAGTATGCTTTGAAGGTCATTTTACTCAGAAAGCGGTGCTACAGCCAATTTACATTTCGAAATCGAACTCTAAAGAGTTTGTTTACATGCACGCCAATGTGCACATGGAACCTTGTTTTGTTTGTCCCATACAAATGACTAGACACTGACCAGGATCGAACCCAGGATCTCCTGGTTTAGCGAGACAGTGCATTATCTCTGAGACACCACTGATCCCTGGTCTACGTCTACTAGAAATGTCTGTGGGTCTGTATATAAATCTTAAAACACATATCATAGTGAAAAACGAGTTACTTATATAATATGAAAACTAGTACTACATATATTCTATCCAAAAATATATTTGATGTTACAAACGCTTCCAACTTTGAACACCATTTCCTCATTTTCAAATTTTTATGGGTCATTAGGTTTATATATGGACATTTAGAATTTTGATATACCCATGACTGATAATAATATCCGGTGACTTGAAATTTATGTTTAAAAGAATAAAGGACATTTTTTGTGGAATAGAATAACATTGTGTATTTGTTTACAGATAGGAAGAGTTTTAATTGGTTCGGATGAAGCAGATAAACCACAGGATATAGGTAATAAATAATAAGCTTAATATTTAATCTATAAAAATATACAAGTGTTTGTGAAGTAGATACTTCCTTCAACTGGGAAAGAATTCTTTTAATGAAATGAGGTACATTATAGTTTAAATTCATTACACAAGACCTGAAGCAACAGCTAGTCCTATGCAGGCCACGAAATTTCACGCGAACGATACCAATCGGTTACGTGCGGTCGCGCCAGCTCAAAAACATGCGACCGATTTCCTGGTTACGCAAATTGAAATATCGGTTACGTTAACAAATTTATCAAACTATTCTGTTTCCTTTTGAGACTTTGTGTATAGAGTGCCAAGGTTTATAAATACTGTTTGTCAATCAGTCGCTACCTATGTGTGAGGCTATCTCATGCTACGTGCTTGGAATTGGATGAATGATTGCAAGTGACAAGTGTAATATGAAGTACGCATGTAGTCTTCAGTGACCGAAAACAATGTGGTAGCTACCATTCCTGTTTTTTTTAAGGTCAGATATGATATAAAAACGAAAACCCATTTTTGGAACCGATTCCCCTCTGCAATCGAACCGTGAGCAGTTAACTGAGTAGCTATTTACTTACATCAGCCACTTGATGTTTGAAAAAGCCGATTGATAAAAGAATTATTAAAATGTAGGGATTCAGTGAAGTGGAACATTTTTTCTAATGTTTTATTGTTTAAATGGGGACACTGTGGGATTAAAGTCATAAACACTTAACCTCAAAATATAATATTAAATATAAAAGAATATAAATTAGTCAAGTTATTCCTTTAAAAAATACATTCACTGCAAGTGGAAATGAATAATAGCACCATTTAAATCTGGATAAAACATGAAAACAGCGCAACCATTTTATGTAACCAATTGGTCACGCAATGGTCATCTGGGGTAACCAAAGAAAATGGTTACGCAGGGCATAAACCCGCAACCATTTTTTGTGTGATGCCAAAATTTGAAATTTCGTGGCCTGCTATGTTACCTGAGACAAGAATAGTTTCGGCTAACTTGACTTCAGTAAATATGTATGAATGTATGATTTATAGATTAATATCATTTGTCATAGTATTTGATATCGATGTCTTTACCTTTAAACATGTTTTACAATAGATGAATATCATTTGTCAAAGAATTTAATATCGATGTCTTTAACTTTAAACATGTTTTACAATAGATTAATATAATTTGTTAAAGAATTTAATATTGATGTATTTACCTTTAAACATGTTTTATAATAGATTAATATCATTTTTCATACAATTCACATTTATATTTGTAGTATTAAGGAATCCTGGTATAGAGAAAGAACATTGTTATGTAGAAAATGAAGATGGCTGTGTTATTATACATCCTAGCCCTGGTTGTGTTTGTAAAGTTAATGATATTGAAATAGCTGAACCTACACAGCTTCAGCAAGGTAACAAAAATAGCATTTACATTAAATATCTGCTATTTCTTAATAACAGTAAGAAATTGATATGTGAAATGTCATATTCATCTAAAAGCATGTCTTATTTATGTTAAAGTTCAGAAATTCCCTTCATAGTTGAAATTTGAAGAATAGTGGATAGAAACTGAACTATCCATGAAAAATATTTCAAAGATCCCTTCGTAGTTAAAATTTGACGAATAGTAGAATGAAACTGAATTGTCTATGGAAAATATTTTGATTCCTTGTTGCACATTTGACCATGGAAAGTGTGATTAAAGTATTTTGTTAATGAGACATTAAACACTATTCATTTGTTACCAAAAGATTGAAGACTGTACTCTTTATATCCATGCAACTTCAATTTTATTTCTGTATCTATTACAGGTGATGTACTGTTACTTGGAATAAACACAACTTTTAGATTCAATAATCCAGCTGAAGCAGCTCGATTACGAGAGCGTAGAAAGGTAGCCAATCATAATTCATGTTAAGTTGTGAACTTTAAAAATATTTTATATAAATTCAAAAAGTACACATTAAATTTTTATTGGTGCTGCTAAGAATTATTTTAATTCACCCCACCAGAATTAAATTTTGAATTTCCTTTTCTATGACATTGCAGAAACAACTTAAGTTGGTAAGTTCAAAGTCTGTAATAGAGTAACAATTTCTTTTCCTTGGTCTAAATATAATCATCTTTGAAACATTTTATTTCCAATTCCTATCTTGCCGCAGTAATGTTTCTAAAACTTCTGTGAAGATTAAAGGGACATAACTCTTCTCTGGACCCATTTTTCTGATCTCTCATTCATATCCTTAAATATTTAATATATAATATTTATGGTATAGTTATTCACAATCAAATACTTCAAAAACAGTTTACTAAAATTATTTTTTGATAACATATTAGAATTTATTAATAATTTGAGAGAAAATATGAAAATTAGTTTCTTTGTAGACTAAAGAGAAGTAACTCTTAATCAATTTCTTACTTGATTTTCAAGTGGGTAGACTTTTGTGATATTAAAACAAAACACTAATGTGTTTAGATACTGAGTTTGATTTTATATATAAGTTGGTTAAATAGACCAATATTTTGTTTGTTTTCCTTATGAGTATGTGTCATTTGGAATCATCGATATTTTGGTATAAGTTATGCATGAAGGTAAGGTGATAATATGCTAGTTTACTTCATTCCTTTATTAAATTCAAATTTTCTTTCTTTTAACAGAGTAGCTTAAGAGATGATGTAGATGGATTACCAAATAAGGATTTTTTATCGGTTCCAACATTTTATGCAAGCACAGCAACACCACCCTTCACCATGTTTAATCCAAAGTAAGTATAGACTAAGACATAGATCAAATGTATAAATGTATTTTAAAGAAAAAAAGCATTTTCAAGCATGTATGATGTCTTAATTTTAAGGATATTTCACTTTAAAAATTCAATGTATTAATAGGTTTGCAATAGTATATTATTTTGGATGTTATGTGATTCTTCTCATAATTTTAAACCCTTTTTTCCCGAATCATATATGAATGTATTTGACTGAAAAAAGCACCTTCAATCCTTTATGATGTCCTTATATAGATTAACAGATTTGCAGTAATATATTATTTTGGATGTGGTGTGATTCTTCTTATAATTTTTAACCTTTTTTTCCTGATTCATAACTGGTGGTAGTTATTCTCATCGTATAATATTAAATTTGATGCAATATATTCTAACCATTTTGGTACTAATTGTTTTAACCAATGATTTATTTGCGCCCCAGACTGGAATCAGCTGAGATATGGTGAGTTGGGAGAATTTCAGAATATAAATAGCTTTTGTCCATTGTAGTAGAGTTTATTTTTATTTAATTGAAGAAAATACGCTTGTAAGACTGGGCAATTAATATAATAGATTCAACCTATGTAAAAGCTAGTTCAAATAGTTCAATAGTCAATAAATATGGATATTATTTTCAAACATGCACTAAAATAAACAAGAGGAAATATAGAGTGCACAGCAGTATATTATAAGTTACTAATCAACATGTATTACTACTTAGGAACAAATTAATAATCATGCAAATCACATATTGCTTGGATCATTCTTACTTTTAACATACATCAGTGGTAACACACTTGTCACAGTATTAGTATGTCATCAACCTGTTTTTCTTTTGGTTAACTCATTTTAAAACTTTGTTAGAGGTTTATATTGTTTTTATAGCAACACATTTAATGTGAACATAGGTTGTCTTACCAAGTGTCCATCAATCTGTCATCTGTCTTAAAGGGTTTGGGAACATTCCACAGGTCAGAGTACTTTGTAGATTTTTTTCAAATATATCACTGAGTTATCTCCCCATTTATGGGCAATCTTATGAAAGCATGAAAATTCGCAACAGGGCAGAGTTATGTACAAAATCTTTCGAAACGCAGTGAGATTATTGATTAGGATAGAATTTCTAATATTTCAGATCGTAAATTGTGAACACGTTCTGTGGAATTATGTTTTTGGTCATATTTGTATTTTTAAATCTTGTAAATTTTAATGCAATACAGAAAAAGATTAATAGTGGAATTTTTTAAAACTTGATGGAATTGGTCAGTAGGACCTTAAGTGGAATCCTATCAAGATTCAGAAGATTTTGATCGAAGATTTTAAAGTTGTCTCACCTGTTATGTTTGATATTATTAATTTAGCTATAGTATAAATATATGTATAAAGTGATGTTAGATGGAAGAGTACTACTGGTATTTGCAACTCATTGTACTATTTAGAACAGTATATCCATTTATTACAGGCTGTATGTAGTATACTAACTAGATAAATCTTTATTATTCATCACAGTTACATCACTGGCTTTTAGATACATTCACTGT